TCTACAGGCTACAGTTCTTTATGGATTCTTTTGATTTTTATTTTGTATGTCAATGTTGTTATGAAGATGATCCCTATTGATTTTCGTGATGATCGGATAATTTTTCACCGAAATATCGTGTCTGACCTGACGTTTTACTCTATTAGCTATATTGTGCAACTCGTGCTCACTCTACAGGCTACAATTTTTTACAGATTCTTTTGATTTTTATTTTGTGTGCCAATGTCATTATGAAGATGATCCCTATTGATTTTCGTGATGATCGGATAATTTTTCACCGAAATATCGTGTCTGACTTGACGTTTTTCTCTATTAGCTATATTGTGCAACTCATGCTCACTCTACAGGCTACCATTGTTTACAGATTCTTTTGATTTTTATTTTGTATGTCAATGTCATTATGAAGATGATCCCTATCGATTTTCGCGATGATCGGATAATATTTCACCGAAATATCGTGTCTGACTTGACGTTTCACTCTATTAGCTATATTGTGCAACCCTGTAGTCACTAAAGACTGTTTAATCATTTCTGACAGCTGCCAGTGGGCGTATGTTACCTTGCCTGGCAAGCTATCTTTTTACTGTGAGATAATACGAATGACCCCAAATGACTAGGTGTTAGTCGTGTAGATTTAGGAGGTGTACAGTCTAATTCTTTTTCTTCTTCATTTATCTCAACGATATATTGAGTCTCATTTACTTTAGGAAAGCTTTTGACATGTGAATCGAAGTTGGTTTTTAAAGTTGCTTCACTCCATAGATGTCTCGATGTAGTTATATCCTTCTGAATAGATTTACCATACAATGAATTACCTAATAATTTCATGCAATTACTACCTACGATATTACCTTCTCGTTTATATTTATTTCTTAGATCTCTCAAAATTAAGATATAATCTCTATATGGTGGAGTTTTAAAATTTTCTTCGTATACTATACCATCTAATATTCTAATAATTCGTCCACTGGCTTTAACTATTTCTTGAATATCGACCAATGTTAAAACATCTGAACAGAAACCAGTTTCCTTTTAAAATAGCCAATCTAGGTCTAAATTTCTGCTCATTAAAGAGCAATTTTTCTTCTTCTTTTTTCGGTTGAAAGGTCTCGCGCTTTCCGCTTTTGGATATTCGCTGTCTAAATCTGACATTGCTGAAGTGTATAAACCGTAAGCATCAAAGGCCATTAGTTTAGTACTTTTTATTTAAGTTTTGAATTAACTTCCGTTTTATCTCTTTTACTTTTACTGAATTCTTTAAATAAATCAATTATATTACTACTCTCGAGTTCTGTGTATTCACTTAATACATTACAAATTTCATCCATTTTATTCATTTGAAATGATTTTCGATTTGCCGAAACTCTTCCTCCTTTAATGGATTGTCTGATGAAATATCTTATAAAAGGGTGTGTATGTGAGTAAACTTTTTCTACGTTTTCTTTTTCGGTGTGTTTCGGAACCATTCTAGTAGTTTCATACCATTCTTCTTCAACCATTTCTTTATTGTAATGATATAAATAATACCATCCCTTTAGAGATAAAGAAGGGGCCGTTAGATTATTGGAAACATTCTGAAATACTACTTCTTTCATAACTTTGTTATATTGTATTGGGATTTAAATGTGGAAAGTTATGTTTTATTCTGTCTAACATTTTTCTTAGTTTTTCTAAATTAATTAACGTGCAAGAATAAGGAATGACTTTATTCGTTTTTTTTTGCTATAGGTTTCACAATCCCATGCGTATAAACAATCATCGTGAATGGTTGGAAAAATGTTTAGTTTTAGAGGTGAAACTTGTGTTACCGCATTATCATCTCTACAAGTTCTCCATACATTTTCATCGTAATTATCTTCTATTTCTTTAATGCCTAAGGTTTTGTTATTTCTTTTAATGAGACAGAAATGTGATTTATGTAAGTAAAATACCCAATCTAATTCCTCGGATACTTTCTTTGGTTGAAAATGTCTATGTTTGGGCATATAAATTTGAAAATTAGTATTAAATTTCTTATTGAATTCACAGATTCTAGCAGTTGTCATAACTCCTTTTCTGTTTGATTTTGAAAAACTGTTGATGAAATCTTGAAATTCTTTTGTGTAATCTTTGTTCAAAACATAATTTAAGCACTTTACAAAGCAGTATCCATCGCTTGGTATATAACAATTTATACCGTCATTATATTCATTTATCTTTTTGAGTAGGGTAACACCACTACCCTTTTTTGATCTTTTTATTTCTTTCAAATTGTTTCTACGTAAAATGATTTTTCCTGAGAAATACCAATCAGAGGAATCCGATTTTACATCCACAGTTGCGAAGAAATTGTGAAAAGTTTTGGCATTAAAGCCTACAAATTCCATTTTTTGTTTGTGTCTTCCATCTTGAATTATCTCCATCTAATTCAATTTGCCGTTTAAATGTTGTAAATTTATCAGAGACAAGGTTAATAATACAGGAAAAAAGTTCATTTGATATAAATGTTTCATCGTCTAAAATTTCAATTTTATTCCTATTTTTTAAGCAACTATTTTTAACTAGGAATTTTGATGATATTTCTACATAAAAATTTATCTAAAATTTCATTGAATTTTTCTAATTCTTCAATGGTTATGTTCTTATCTTCTCTCGATCTTTCGAAAAAAATGAATAATTTATTGAGATTTATTTGATATAAAACCTAAAGTAATCAATCCACAAGATGAAGCAGTGATCGCGGCTAATACAGTTGGGACAATTATTGTAAGCATTAATTTACCGGTTACGTCTGTTGCCGCCGTTATCCCTACTGTTAGAACTGTGCTTAGGGTAAAGATTGCAACTGTGCTTAATCAATTCTACTCCATGTTTTTCTGCATTTGTTGAAGTGTTTTAGTTTTTCTTTTAGTTCGTTTTGTTTTTCTATCATGTAGTTTTGTCTGCTTTCTAGTTCCATTTTTAGGTAAATTTAGTGAACTTCTGATAAAGCTGCTATGTGTTTACTATCATCAATAACAACTTTTACAGTTACAAAGGATATTTGTTCTTTCGAATCATTAATCTTATTCAGATGAACTGAAAATTTTGGTATTTTAATAGAGATTGATATATTAACATATGCATCATCATCTCTTATTGTTGGTATCAAAAATTTTTGTTTTTGTTGACTTTTATGAATATCAATTGAGGTAAATATATCATTATTAACAAAATATAGTTTTACTCTGTTGCTCGTAAAAACTCATAACTGCTTGCTTATTTTTGTGGTTCTGGATTTCTACTAATAATTACTGATGGTGGAGTTTCCGTTTCCAATATCATATGAAATTCACTAAATGAAAGAGTATTATTTTCTTTATCTGGTATGATTAACATTCTAAACCTATCTATATATTTTCCACTCGTTTTAATTTCATATAAGTGATCATTCTTTCTGTTTTCGTCGTTAATTTATAATTCTTTAGTTTCTACATTTTCTGTACGATTGATAAACTGAAGAACTTTGCGAGCGTTAAATTGAGAATTAAATGAAAATCCTGAGTTTTGTCCTGAATATTGAATCAACTTTTACCTGCAAAGGAAAAATAATTTCAATCATAAGTTTTCCTTTGAAAACAAAAGTAGAATAATCACCAAGAAACATATTATAGGAATTATTAACACCACTATGTTTATATATATATTTGATGTAATTCCATATTTTTTATATTCATAGTCTTTTGATCTATCAATATTATCAGTAATAGAAGCATCTTCACATCTCAAACTTCCAAATAGACGACTAAAATAATATGATTTATTTTCTTTCTTGAGATACTTTTCTAATGCAACTATATTTTTATCCTGTTGTAAAACTAGGTTATTAATAGTGGTTATCTGTTGTTGAATAACACTATCATCAATATTTTGTATTTGTTGTTGAATATAGGTTTTGATTTCGCTATCATCTATGTTTTGTATTTGTTGTTTAATATTTCTTAGTTCTTTTTGTAATTCACTATTAAGTTTAGTTTCCAGAGCATTTAATTCCTGTTGAATCGTATCTTCATTTTCACATGGAATGTTATCTATTAATTGTTGAATGTCTAATTTTTGTTTTGCAATCTTATCATCTAATTTAGATATTAATGAAATTAAATTTTGTAACTCAGTTATGTTCACTACGTTGACTTTTGGAATAAAACTTATTAAATCTTGCTGTAGTTTAGTAAATTTTTATTATTTAGTTGACGTTTGAAGAATCTTTTCACATTACTTATTTTATCTTCTAAATGTTTTTTTTTTACTTCAATTGAATTTATTTGTTCCCGTAAATATTTCTTGTGAACAGCGTCATTATCATTTTCCGGAGACTTTAAATTAGTTACTTTAAAATTGTTCATATCTAAATCACCTTGAAGAGTATCCCCGATTTGATCCACAAAGTAAGGTTTCGCTTTATTTATCCACGCTGTAGTGTTAGGTTTTTTAGTTTCTAAAGATAAAGAACCTAATCCAAACTTGTTCGCCACTTTTATTGAGTCAAATTTATTAAAATTTTTTTCAAACTGTTTTCCTAATCTTAATTGATATAAAACCCAAAGTGAAAGCTGACCACAAAACGTTTGTTCCGGTAATTGAATTTGAAATATTGGACATTTGATTGGTTAATTAGTCAATTGCACTATCTCTTCAGTTGAAAAACTATAAGTTATTTGAAGAGTCTTTGTAAAAAGCAGGATGATGAACTCCTTTTTGATCGGAAGTATGTATATTTGTTATAGCGTAAAATTTACCTTTCTTATATTTCAGATCATTTATTTCATCTCTCATACAATAATAAAACAGTGATATATTTAACTCATTCGCCCATCTCATAAGTTGAAAGTTTGTGGTTGTATCAGTTCCATATTTATCGAGAAAGATATTCATTTTTAAAAGTCGATTTTTTGAAGTTCGTTTTGATAAAACCTATCTATGATTTGTTCTTTGTCTTGATCAATTAATTCATATGTCGGAGGTGATGTGGTGTTTACTTTATCAACGATGAATATTTCGTTTGTAACGAAACCTTTTTCGAATTTGCTTTTATACTTGAAAATACGAACTCGATCTCCGACTTTAAATTTGGGTTTGATATTTAAATTCTTTATTTCATTTTTGTAGTTATGTTGTGCGTTAATTGACTTTATAATATTTGGATTATTTGAGGCTTGTGTTGGTGTGACACCTATAGATGAATGAATTTTGTTATTGTATTCATCTACAACCTATGGTAATATTTTAAGCCATTTTTGAGATTTCAATTCTGTGAACTTTTTGAATAATTTATTTTTCATTATATTATATCTCTCAATAACTACAGCTTTACCTTCATTATGCTTGCTGTAAATTTCAAATCCCAGAGATTTCATATTTTTATTATAAAATTCACTTCCTTTATTTACCCGGCATCAACTCTATTGACTGGTTCTTCACCTGGTATGGGTTTATTGTTTTCGTCTAAGCGTAGATCTAACCTGGTACTTTAAAACTTTTCCCTTTCCTTTCTTGTAATCTCCTGTTATGCAGTTCTCTTATTAGCTGTAATTCTTTCAACTTATCAGACTTTTTCACTGCGTCGCTTATACTCTTTCCCGCTTCCGCGATTGAGCCGACGGCTTTCACTTCGGATGAAATAAGTGATTTGTTGTTTGAAACAAAGCTATCCACTTTTGGAATTATTGTTTTACCTAGAGAAAATATTGATGAAAAGATGCCGTCGCCCGAATAATCTTCGAATTTGTGTTGTTCGTGTTTTAGAATTAAACTCATCCTATTTTTAAATGAATTAATCTAACGAAGAAATTGTGGTCTGTTTTTTTTTCCAAAAAAGAGTTATCTTCCTTCTAGAAGTTTCTAGACTAAAAATAACATTATTAAAAAACGAGGCTATTAAAAACATGTTAAGCGAAACAAGGAAGTTATTTTATATAAGGGTATTTTTAATATGCTTTTTTCGTTTAATTTAGGGTAAATAGGTTTTTGGGGGTGGGGGTTGATGGAATGTAGGGTGTATAGGTGAAAGAATTTATGGAATGTAGGGTGTATATGTGTAAGAATTTATGAAATGTAGGGTGTATAGGTCTTTTTTAGTGTAAGAATTTATGAAATGTAGGGTGTTTAGGTTTTTTTGGGGGGGCTTTTCAATATGGTTGCACTTTTCCCCCATGGAATGAAATGCAATAATAGCGTAATTTTAACTAAAAATAGCTTAAAATAGAGACGAAAATAGCAGACTGGGTACTTAAAATAATTGTAAACATTTTCTATAATAGCGCAATTTTAGCTAGAAATAGCTGAAAATATAGCCGAAAATAGAAAAGTGTGGACTTTTCAAATTTTTCTAAAATAGCGTCTAATAGCTATCTATTCTCAAATATAATCAACACTTCATAATAATTGCAAAAATAGCGTAATTTTAGCTAGGAATAGATTAAAATAGAGCTGAAAATAGCAGGCTGGGTACTTAGAATAATTTTAAATATTTTCTGTAATAGCGCAATTTTAGCTAGAAATAGCTGAAAATAGAGCCGAAAATAGCAGACTGGGTACTAAAAATAATTTCAAATATTTTCTATAGTAGCGTAATTTTAGCTAGGAATAACTGAAAATAGAGCCTAAAATAGAAAAGTGTGGACTTAAAATAATTTTCAAATTTTTCTAAAATAGCGTCTAATAGCTAGCTATTCTCAAATATAATCGACACTTCATAATAATTGCAAAAATAGCTTAATTTTAGCTAGAAATAGATTAAAATAGAGCCGAAAATAGCAGACTGGGTACTTAGAATAATTTAAAATATTTTCTATAATATCGCAATTTTAGCTAGAAATAGCTGAAAATTGAGTCGAAAATAGAAAAGTGTTGACTAAGAAAAATTCGAATGATTTTCTATTCTGATTTCTAAAATAGAGGCTAGTTTGGGGCTATTCTCGAGCTATTTTCTATTTTAAGTGCTAAACTCAGATCCTGCACCTTCATGGGTGGAAGGCAGTTGAATACCGGTAATGACAATATTTTGAAAACCTCCTCGGTTGAGTTCATTCAAACCATAGGGCCTTACAAGTCAAGTCTATAAATCCCAGTTTGTTATCGAAATCTCAATTTTTTTTAGTTCGAATTTGACACACCTCACTGACTTTAGACTGCACTAGTTGCAGTAACTACCGTGGAGCCTCCTTTATCCGGTTGTCAACAATCTGGAAACCCTGATAACTGCACACTTTTTAATGGGGACGGAATATTTGCTATGTAAAATTACTTGTTAATCCAGGGATTTGGTTTCCTAATAGGGATTTAATCCATTAATTTAATAACATGTAAGCCTTTTCGTTCAATCATACCTGAATACCATTTCTCAGTCAGTAATTCTTCATTGTCATCTTTCGTTCAGTCATACCTGAATTCTATTATGGCTACCTAACACATCTAACGTTAGCTCTACGCAGTTACAGCACAAAAATTTGTATTTAATATAAATAAGCGGAACTCTCAACTGGTTTTTACAATGACACATTGATCTATGTTTAATAAATCATCATTGTGAGAATATGCAATTAATTTAATGATCACGTGTTAGCTATCTTTGGTTCAGTCATACCTGAAAACCAACTTTCAAAACTTATATTTTCGTTCAGTCATGCCCAAATTCCATTATGGCTACAAAACACATTCAACTTTATCGCTACTAAGATACGGCATGAAAATTTTTGTTTCTAAATAACCGAATCCTAATTAAATGTTTTAATGTTATTATCATGCCTTGTATTGAAAAGAAAAATTATAAACAATCTGGATTCTTCATGATGCATTTATAAGGGATGGAAGTGTGCAGATAAACAAGCCTCCACTGTATACTACTTTCCTAGACCTTCTATATTGGCAACGTTATTTTTAAACGCCCTTCAGTCCGTCCATCCACAATTGCTCGTAAACTCTCTATAAGGCACAATTCTTGACTGATTTCGACGAAACTTGGTATGGTTGTTTGTAATCACCCAAAGATGGGCCCTATTGAAAATCAGAAAAATCAAAAAATATTTAGTATGAGTTATTGCCCTTGTTCTTGAAAACGCGTTCAACTTTTAGTCTGTTAACGCTCTAAAAGAAACAATTCTTGAGGGATTTTGCCGAAACTTAGTGTGAGTGTTCGTAATCACCCAAGAATGAACCCTATTGAAAATCAGAAGAATTGAAAAATATTTAGTATGAGTTATTGCCCTTGTTCTTGAAAACGCGTTAAATTTTTAGCTCATAAACCCTCTAGAAGGCACAATTCTTGACAGACTGTGACAAAACTTGGTGTGATTGTTCTTAAAGGTCAAATTCAACGAAAATAAAACCCCTCCGAGGATAGCCCATCCCCGGCAAATGTTAAAAATTAAAAAATCCGTCCGATTGCGAGTTCTGAATGTTGTCACATAGTCACGCTACACCTGCTTAAAAATGTTGACAGTTTAGACTGAAATACGTCCTCTTTTTGTTACGACATGAGAGCCATTCGAGAACCCGTGCGAAATTTACTGAGGCCTACTTCTACTTGACTGGATCTAGGCATGGCTCATTTCATCGATAATAGTGATAGTGAGGGCGAAATTCCAGAGGTAGATTTGTCAATACGAATTCAACCCTATATGTTCCATCCTGTACGAGAAAATCTGCAAAGGGAAAGTGACGATTCTTCTAGCTCTAGCTCTTCTGAAGACACGGACGAGGAAGCGTCACAAGGCGAAAGTGAAAGTATTTGGTAGGCTATAAAATATTATTTATTTACTAATTCATTATTATTCCAAAGTATCTGTACATTTTATTATTTTTTCAATTTCTAACCAAAAGCCATCTGGTAAATTTATTTCTTCAAATAGCACCAAATGATAAAATAAGTCACATGATATTATCCCAGGTAAATACGGAAGGAAAGTGAAGGTAGACTTGGAATTATTTGGCTCTACTCTACCGTGGTCACAAATTCAGTGGTATATCAAAATCTGTCGATTTTTATTAAAGTTATTTAATATATTGAAACTAGTATTCCAATTCTCATAAAATTAATGAAGACAGTAAATGATCATTATTCAGCCTTTCAGGTGCAAGTGACATTTATGTTTAGCCTATATCATTATTTAAAGGTGCTAATAGTAATGTGTAGGAATTAATTTGCTCCCATGTTCTTATTATTATTCAGGTGCAAATGTGAAAAGTGCAGATTAGTAGTACTAGACGTTTCAATTTGGTCGCACAGGGATTCCCCCATTCCATTTCATTTTATGGGGAAAATGCAACCAAATTTCAAACCCCCAAAAAGACCTAAACACCCTACATTCCAGCAATTCCCTCTCAAAAAGACCTTAACACCCTACATTTCATAAATTCTTACACCAAAAAGACCTAAACACCCTACATTTCATAAATTCTTACACCAAAAATACATTCAATCAATTCCTACATTCCATCAAAAAAAAGCATATTAAAAATACGGTTTTTAATAGCCTCATTTTAAGTAATGTTATTTTTAGTCTAGAAACTTCTAGGATGGGAGATAACTCTTTTTTTGGAAAAAAAACAGACCACAATTTTCTACTCAATTTTTAAACCTTAAAAATGGCAAATAAAATATTAGATCCAATCTTTAGATTATACGATCCGATTCGTTATTCATTTAACAAGAAAAAAGAAGATTATATTATCATCTCACCGACTGTTGGTTCTAAATCCCAATTGAATGATGGTGGTATAATTACCTTCGAAATAAATTCATTATTGAATTGGTTGCTTCTTTCCGATGCTTATTTCAGATGTGATTTCAAAATTAAAGATGGAACTCCCAATGAAAATCGTGTTCCACAAACTAATACAACGTTAGAAAACAATTTCTTTCCATCTTTATTTAGCGAGATGGTTTTGGAAGCTGGTTCAAATCCGATAGAAACAATTTAACACCCTGGGGAATTCGACACAATGTTGAAAACAGTTTTATATCTTAAAGATTTCGATTCAGTCTCAGGTTGGATACCCGATGTTGGCGATGAAAGTGTTTTAAATCTTGCAAATGATGCTGATTTAGCTAGAATGAGAGTTGTTGCTCGAAACACAATAGAAAGAGTAGCACGAGCAGCTAATCGTGGATTCGAAAAACGAGTACTTCAGTATAATAATGTTGTTGAGAATAATAGGTGGGGTGATTACGTAAATTGGAAATTATATCCTTTATTCGGTCTGTTGGAAAAAGAAAAGTTTCCATAGGGTTACCATATAAAATTCATCTACAAAGAGAAATCAATGATGATAAGATATTCTTTGGAGATCAACTGAAGTAGAAACGAGAATATTCAACTCATTAACTAAAGATATTGAAATAGCTGTTCTTCATCGTAATACGGTAGGTAGCATGACTTTAACTGGAGAATCCACCACGTGGCCAATCACTAACACTATTAAACCAGCAAGATATTTAATGGTTGGTTTCAAGAACTTACCAAACTCTCAGATTAATAACAATAATGTCTTTAGAGTGGCAATGAACCAAACTCAAGATCCTTTAATCCATAAAGTTCAAGTAAGATTAAACAATGATAATTATCCTAACCAACCTTTAACAATTAATCCAACCACAAAGGATTATAATGAATTGTATAGAAACTATAAAAATATGTGTGAATTATTTGGAAATCTACCTCAGTTTGAATATGTAGATTTTGCACTTAATCATCCAATCTTCTGTTATGATCTATCAGCTCATCAAGAAGATCTTTTCAAAACAGGAGTCAACATAAATATTCATATTGAAAAAACACAAGGAGATGTAACTGGTTATTGTTTACTACTCGAAGAAGCAAAACATTTAATTAAAATAGCAGATAGAAGAATGATAAGAATTGAGTAAAAAATATACTCTTAAAAATGAAAGTAGAAACTTTAGTTATGAAAATAATAGAAGCTATTGAAACAGATTACCCAACTGTAATAACTTTCAACGGTAAAAAATCAACATAACTAAAAAACTTATTGATAAATACAAATATTGTAAAGTCAGAGATGATATAGAGTTAGAAAGATTTGACGCGAACACAAAGGAAGGTGGATTTTTACCTTTCCTACTACCTTTAATATTTGCTTGTATTACTGCAGCGGGTGTAGCAACTGGTGGGATATCTGCCGCAGTAAGTTCTGCCAGAGAAAAGAAAATTGCTGCAATAAAAGCTGCCGACGAAAAGAAAGTAGCTGAAGTAAAAGCTGCTGAAGAACGTAGACACAATTTAGCAATGGAAAAGTTGGCAGCAGAAGAAAAGAAAGGTTCAGGAGTGGCAGATATATTAGGAACAATTAAAGAATTTGGAAAACGATTTGGGGAAGAAACCAAGAAAACTGTTAAACAAGGATTAAATAAATTAGTAGATAGTATTGACACAGTAGAAGTCAAAGTCAAATATAAGGGTAATGGAATATTTTTAAAAAACATACACACTGGAGAAGGAATATATCTTTCAAAGTATAAAGGAGAAGGAGTGATTTTTGGAACAAAATAAAATAATAAAAAATGGGAAAGAAATTCAAACATTCAGAAATATTTCCTAGTAACCCAATGTTTATGTGTATATGTGGTAGTTCCGGTTCTAGGAAAACTCATCTCACTTTTAACATGTTGACAACACCAAACCTTTTAGATTTCGATTCTTTGTATATCTACACAACAACACCAGAGCAATCGTATTATCAATTCCTCAAAGCTTTCAATCCAACGGATTAAAAGTTTTTCTTACGAAAAATGTTAATGATCTAGACTTGTCTAATATTGATAGCAATCGAAAGAACTTACTATTGTTTGACGATTGCGTAGCGCAAAGAAATCATGCTGTTCAACAAGAATTCTTCACGAAAGGAAGACATCACAACTGTCACTGCATATACCAATCCCAATCTTTTTACGGGATGTTCATTAGAAAAAATGCAAATTGTTTTTTATTATTTGAATTAAACGATAAAGATTTATCTCAAATCATTCAGTCGATAAATCACGGAATGGATAGAGATACATTCAAAAAAGTTTGTAAAGCTCAATGGAGAAACCCAGATGATCATGGATATGTATTTGTAAATACTAGAAAACCTGCGGGTGAAAGAGTTATGATCGACATATGTTAATTTTATTTTTTTAAAAATGAGTAGCGGTTGGAATAATATAAAGACCCAAGTTGAAAATAAAAGATTACAACAACTTGGATTAACAGAAAATCTACAAACTCTATTTCAACCAATATTAAAATCTCAAGAGGATATTACAAAGAAATTAGCTTTAGAATATAAACCTCCTATAGAACCCTCACCTCCTATAGAACCTCATCACCCCAAAGCGATTGAATATAGTG